TCATACTTCTGTGCCAAATGTTGCGTACGAAGTAGCATAATATCGTTCGTATTGTTCGTAAACAAATATCCAGTCTCTTGTAGGACATAGTCATAAGCCAACATGGCAAATACTATTATGGCAATAAACATTATGACAGCATAGAAAAAGTACTCGTTACTCTGAAATAAGTGTTAAGCAAGTAAAAGTAATTGTTAGGCTATTTTATTGTTAAATTACCTGTGAAACAAACATATTTAACTGGGTTAATATCACCACAATGAGATTTCCAAAAGCATTGTTAATGAACCATGTGGCAGTGACCACTGATTTCATTGAAGCAGGCGCCTGTAAATAAAATGTAAATGTAAATAAAACATTTATTGTTTTATCAAGTAAACATAAAAATGACTAAATAAACCTGTGTAAATGCAAACTTCAAACCGGGTATAGATAATAGTAATTCGCCGAGCATCAGTAACAAAAACTGTGGAATTTGCCAAGCAATATTTACAGAACGATAAGGATGACTCTGAAATGTTAAAAAGAACACAATGTAGTACACATATGTCTGTTAATATTTAAATTATAGGAATTAATTGTTTTCCTTATCCACGTACATTATATGAGGATTTATTTGTTTTTAATTATGTGCTAATTTGAATCTAAAACAACCCGACTTACATTAATATATTCTTGCAAGACGCCGGCACAAATAAAAGAGAGCGCTGAGCACACGCCACCAGCAGTAACGCTATGCAAAGGCTTAACCTCAGTACCAAATAAACGACGAATGCATGGCGTGCATATATATTGCCACAAAGGTATAAGTATAAAAAGCAAAATAGGACCCATGGCTTTAGCCTGTAAAAATAAATATGTATTTTCATATAAATTACATATGAATATTATTATAACCTGATCCGGTTGTATCGTTATCATATCGGCTACCGTCATATTCATCATTGAAGCCTGAAATGTCCAACTGGAATCTTGTTGAGCCAATAACGCAAAATATACCGGTAATGGCATGAAAAGTTTACAAATCTGAAATTATTATTTTTTTATTAAAATATAAATTGTTACATACACAATACGTATTAAGTGTAATAATATAAACAATTTGACACCTTTAAAACTCTGCCAACGTCTTTTATAAAATCCTCATCATATTTGCCTACTGCATATTGCAGCCAATAGGTGCGTGGTTGTTCATTTGGATGCTCGTTACGCCACTTTACAACCAAAGCATGTTTAATGCAACCACACAATTTTATAAGTATATTTTCCTCAGCTAGTTTCTCAGCTTTGTAATAAAATTTACCGAGATTGAAGATTGCTGTAAACAAGAATGTAGAAATTTTAACATTTATTTGCTTGAAAACTGTTTAAATGACAAAACGTACACCAGGAAATCGCAAAGGACAAGCCCAGTATTCCAAAAACCGCCGGGTAACAGTCGGTCTTCCCGAAGCATTGTGATTTGGCGCGCACTAATGGTGGTAAAATTTTACTCAGCAGTATACCAAAGTAGTAAACAAAGTAATACAACGAAAAGTATTCAGCTAAACGCGTGGCCTGCTCGGGCAGCTTGAATTGCTGTGCACCCAAAGAGGTTATACAAGCGCGTATTGAACCATTGCCTATGGCTATAAATAACAAGGATACCGATACTAGGAAACTGCAAATAAAATGATTTCATTTAGGAGTATAACACACATACTTATGTATACACATATGCAAAGCTGTGCATGTGTAGTTTTCGACTTACATCAAGGATACTCCTACTGCGGGCATAACCGTCAAAATTAGCAATATCCAACCGGTAGCGTAGAGTATGCAAAAGTATGAAATTGTGCGTACATTTCCAAAATAACTGTCAGCTAATATGGCACCGAATATCGGACAAAATTGACCAAAGAAATTGAAAATATGCAACATAATCGTTGCAAAGCCTTCGCTAAAGTAGAGGTCATCACGTATATATAAAACTAAGACGGCTGTAAAATAAAAAATATATTAAATATTGATATATTATTAATTAAAGCTAAAGAAAATGAAAATACATCCAATGTGCATGTGTCCAATATAAGTAATTTCATTTTCTTTTGAAAATGTGTTACAAAATATATATTCATTTGAATATGTAAAACTACTTTATTAATTGAACAGAGTATATTAAGTTTAGCATGAAATGGTTACTCTATTTTAGAGATAGCGATCTGAAAAATTGCTCTTCTTCTTCTTCCACAAGAAGCTATTAATTTGTCGGAACCGCTGTTAACGGGCAACTATGGCCACATAAGTTAAGGATCAAAATTAAGTCCTTGTATTATATATAAAACGTGTTATTTGACAAGAAATCTTCACGAATTTGGCAAAGATTTTTGCTCAAACCACGCTTCGTTTTCTTGTAAGCAAATGTTTTTATTTGTGAAGCGTATTATATGTAGCTTCGGTGCAAACGAAGTTAATGATTTTTTCTGTTCTTTTTGTTAAACATATTGACAAACATACATACATCTGTATCTGTTTCTAATTTGTATAATTCAATGAACTTTTGTCACAAAGGTTAGTAATCCAATTCCAATTTGAAATTAATAATAGATTTTTCTTACAATGCAAAACTCATTCCTTCAAACGATGCTTAACAATTTTCTAAAATGAAATTAAGCTTTTGAATCAGTTAATTATGCATTGAAACTTATACATATGCACATACATTCTATATGTAAATATTTACTCACTTCTAATACCATTTGCGGCAAACGCTTCAAAAAATTTTGTCGTAAGCAAAAAAATAACGGCCAATGGATACTTGTATTTAATCGGCGGTAAAGTTGTTGTAAGTCCATATTTTAATGAAAGCCTTCTATCATATTTTCGCAGATATGTGCTTGGATCGGGCTGTATATCATCCTCTGAGATGGATGTAGTTGACTCAAAGAGTGCAGGAAGTGCTGAAATATTTGCAATTAACGATTATTTATTTAAAATATTATTCTTTAAGCAATTTATAATTTATTACACAATTTTTTTTTTTTTATAGATATTTATAATATTTAAATTTTAAAGACGGTTCGTATACGATAACAGTATACAGCATGTTTTCGGAGGCTTAACTTAAGTCAAATCACGTGTGTGTATTCGCTTGTTTATGCAAGAATTTCAGAAAAGAACAGTTAGCTTCACTTAACAAATTACATTGACCTATTATTATATTTATTTGTTTCTTGATTTTCGTAATTACTTAATTTTCGATTGTAGCATCCAGAAAGTAAAAAAATTAAAATGAGCATAACGAATATACAAATGTCAAAACGCGTAAACAGTGTATGTGACAGAAAAGATATACATAAGTATGAACATTACTGACAGTTTCCGGTTTTTTGAATCAGCTTTAAGGAAACTCATACTATCCGGATATTTAGAAAAGACCTATCTGTGAAGTCTCTTGATTTTTAATTGGTTGTATTCTTGACTTTTTTTTATAAGTATATCGTAAATATAGCGACGTATTTGTTTTATTTAACTTTATGTTTCACAGTCAGCACAATTCAGCCATCGAAACCCCTTCTATTTTAAAATTACGTTGTTAATATTATATAATATTCACAGTTTGTTATGTTCATGTGTGTTTTAACAATTTTTCGGTTACATACAAACTTATAAGCTGAAGCACTTACTCTCTTCACTGACGATCTGTGAAGCGCGAAACATTGTATCCTTTGGTATTTATACTTTTAGTGCGTGCATTAACAGGTAGACCTTCTGTCTGCTATATACATAATATACATATACATACAATGCTGATTAAGATGGAATACGAGCGCTTTGTTGGTTGGTTGGCCTTTGAATGTGGCGGAAAACCAACGGCGGTGGTGGGTGGTTGCGGTTGCTGTGGTATTTAATCAAATACCGCAATTATTTTGTTTTACCTGAGTGAAATACGTATTCATGTTATTTTTTGTGTATTTGCAAATAAGTTGTACTAATTTTTTAGTGTTTTTACATAAATCGATTTTGTTTTATGAAAATAATTAAGGCCCTAATTTCCCAAGGTGTTTATTATTTTTTAAACATAATTTTTTTTATAACTCAAATACAATGCATAACTTTTCGCTCTCAATTTCATTTTTTTTAAACCATTTTCACGCCCTTTTTTCAACCGTCTACGAACGCGCCTAACTTAACACTGACTGACTTGCTGTTGGCGGTTGCCGCCTGATTGCGGTGTCTGATGCCACACCAGAGCGTCTAGGTTCGGCAGTGTTTCAGTCTAGTTGTCGGTAAACTGAAGCTTCATTATCAGCAAGTCGTTGCATCGTTTTCGTTTTAGTTGCACTTTTTCATACGTAATCTGCCTGTAGTCATTCTTTACTAATTAGTGTGCAACTGTATGTGAATGTAGAGCATTTAAGAGATTACCAAGAATTAGCCGAACACCTCTCTGTATGTTGCGATTAGAAGATCGGTCAGCGTCTAAATAGGTATAACTATAATTGTAATCTTATCTCACTATACAAGCATAGTAAGCAAAGTAATAACATTTAGTCTGTAGATCTTCTTATCAAATGTTTTATTTGTAGTTCATCTTACACCATGTATAATACACACATATGTATGTACGTGTGTAAGTTTGTGCCTATTTAAATACACATTCCTCTTAACAAAAAAAATATACAAAAGTTGCTCCAATGCAAAGTATAACTAATGGTTCACGACTCAAAGATATGAAAGATAAATAAGAAGCCTGACTCTAAATATTATTAGTTTTATTGAGACATTATCATTATTTATTTATTCCTGACGGTCATGGATTATTACCGACAATTGTAATATTTAGAATGGCCGAATATAATTTGTAAATAACCAACTTTATTCTGACGCAGCCGAAATTAGTATGACTTCACATTATCAAAAGCCTTTTACGCGGTTTGTTTCAGGACAAGACGCTATCGAAAGAAAATATTTTCCAAAAATCCACCAGAAAAGGTGTGTACCAAAAACAACCATAACGATTTATTTTATTGTTTTTATTGTAACGGTTATCTTCCCGTTAGGGTGGTAATTTATGTGGTTAAATGTGCTTACCATCAACAGAGATTTCAGAATTAATCCATAAAATAAAATATGTAAATATAAAAAATATATGTCTGCATGTAAGTGTGTTGATTACAAGTCACGCGGTCTGCAGATAAAGTATTGTAAATAATGCTTTTCTCAAGACAATCAGTGAAATGTTTAGCGTACTACTGCTGCTGTGCTCTGAGTCACAGTCCATTGCACGGGAGAATGTCGCACTTACAGTTATCATAATAAAACATTACATCATATATAATTAAATTTACTTTTTTTATTACTAAGAATTATGAAACAGAAAAGGGGAGGATTCAAAAAAAAAAAAAAAAAAAGTGCATGGTTATACAGAATAAATTTACTATATTATAAAGTACTATAATTTTTGTCTGAGCAATTCTTTGCAAAACGGTTCACGCTGGTATAAGAATTTGTATTGATAAGCAACTGAGATTGAGAAAAAATGAAATGGATGAGCTTGGTTAGTGGCGACATTAGTTTTTCTATACGTTGGCACATCGAAAAACTGTTGCTAATGAACAAATCATATATTCTGAATATTTTAATTCGTATAACTTCTGTGAGTGGATGTATATTCAAAAATTACTTTTACTAATTATAACAATTCGCCTTCGTACTGTCTTCGTATCCACCCGCAATTCGTTGGTTATAAATCTTTACACTAGTTTCTTCGCCTCGAAGAAGCTCTTTAAGTGTCGCATCTGCCAGAATCCCATACAGACCAAAACAAAAGTTTGTGCCAACGACCACCATAAAACGCGCGAATTGGTGCTTTCACTTGTATGACGGAAACGCTCCTCCCTATAACGTTGATAGTTCTGCTCCTTGGTGATTTGATCCACTTGATCAAGTAATTGACGTATGCGCAATTGTAATTCAGTCAATTTCTCTTTTTGTGCGACATTCGCATAATCGATGGCATGCTCGCCCACCTGTATATCCAAATGGACACGCAATTGTGCACCACTAAACCAAGCTGTGCTATTCGAATACATGCAAATAACATGTTCACCGGGTATATGTGAAGTGAAGGAGATGCGACCTTCCGAACTATAAACACGCGAGAGTATAATTTTATCGTCGCTATCACGTACTTCCACATGCATGCCAATACCAGGAGAGGAGGGCATAAAACCATTAGAACGCGGGTCGTATAGTTCCACTTTGTAGTTCACTATAAAATATAGGTAGTTAAAAGAAAATTGTTTAGTGAAATATTTCGCAAATGCTTAGTATAAATTATCAAGATGGCTTACCGATGACGGTGGTCTCATCAGGAACTTCTTCTATAAAACATTTTCGCTCTGTTTCTGCTATGTGGAAGTAAAGGCCAAATGTTGTTTGTAGAAAACAAAGCAGCACAATTGAGGTAACTAAACATTTACTCATGATTTATCCTTGCTATAGCGGTTAAATAATGTGGAACTATGTAAATAATATTAATTTCTAAATTCGTTTATATCACCCCGACACGTATGCCAATGTAGAAAAATCTGACATTTAGTTATTTTCCTTATATATGTTGTTCTGTTCGTTTTTGAATCAATATTGCTTACAGGGTGATCGTGAGTAGTCTTTTTAATCGAATATTATCCCAAACAAAATATATTCGATAAATTTGATTAATTGCCGCTAGAACACTTCACCTCCTGTTCTAATGGTACAAAATAGTTTTTTTTTTTAATTAACTTGTTAATTCAGCTAGTTAAGCATTCGCCTTTAAAATATAACTAAGGTTGGCAGTCTTTTGCTAATTTTGCTTTAATGTCAGTTTCCGTGATTTGTTGACGTTTAAAGTATAATATTACAAAAACAAAATAGTTAAATTGCTGTGTAGGCAAATCAATTGCATATATATTTTTAATATTTAAAGAAATATGGATTTGACCTTGTTAATAGGTATAGCAACGGCGTTGCTGGTAATAATAATTGGATTGTTGCTTTTCCAAAGAAAATCAACAGGAGGTAGGTGATGGATAATAATAGTTATTACTACATTTGTTAAAACTCATAAACTTTCACAGACAAAGCAAACAAGCCAGCGCAGCGAGGAGCTCCCGTGAGAGCACAAGAGGGTATTCCACGACGTGCCCAGATAGCTCGAAACCAGCGTAACCGTTTGCGTCAAAACGCTGCAGCAGCTGCAGCCGCAGATCAGGCCGCTGCATTAGATAATGCCCTAGAACCAAATGACAACGACGAAGATGGAGATGATGATGAAATTCCATCTGGTCCGGTATTGGACGAGAAAATGGGTGCCAAGAAACGTGCCAAAATGGAAGCAAAAGAACAAAAACGAATAATGCGAGAGCAAGAGCTAAAGCAGCGTGAGGAGCGTAAAGTCAAGGAAGCTAAACTCGAAGCAGAACGAAAACAACAGGAAGAACGTGAGGAGGAAGCGGAACGTAAAGCAGCAGAAGCAGAACGTTTGGCACGCGAAGAACGTGAACGGAAGGAGCATGAGGAGTACTTAAAAATGAAGGAAGCATTCAAAATTGAAGAAGAAGGTTATGAGGAAGCTGAGGATGCAGAAAAAGAGCAACTTTTACAAGATTTTATACAATATATTAAAGACAACAAAGTAATTGTTTTGGAGGATTTGGCTATGGAATTTAAACTGAAAACTCAACAAGTGATCGATCGTATACAGGACTTGCAAGCGAATGGCACATTAACGGGTGTGATCGATGATCGTGGAAAGTTCATCTACGTATCGCAAGAAGAATTACTTGAAGTAGCAAAATTCATAAGACAGCGAGGGCGAGTATCTATAGCAGAGCTGGCTGAAAGTAGCAATAATCTAATTAATTTGACACCTGTTTCGAGTGCTTAATAGATATTTCAAACATTAATATTTTAGTGTAATTTTACTTTTTAATTCGCTTATAACAAAGTTTTATGTAAATTGTGAACAAAATTCAATGTACATATGATTAATTTAATGCAAGTACAATTTTTACAATATCATGTACATACATACGAAATGTATAAAACAAATGTGTAGTTAATCGGACATATCCGTATCGTTATCGTCCATATCCATATCGTCATCCTCATCTTCGCTTGTTTCATCTGGGTCGGTAGCTTGCGATTGACATTTCGGGCATTGACATACAAAAATATAGTTTTCTTTAAGAATCTACAAAGACATACAAAACGGCTTCGATTACAGCTTTGGGAGTTAAAGAGTCATTTCTACAAATTTGTTTACTTTTTGTCTCGAATGTCTGCTGCGCTCCAGCTGACATTCATCCAAGTAAGATATGCAGATTTCTTCACCAACTTGTATAGGTGCTACCGCTTTCAGCACAACTATGTCGTTTGAATAAGGAAAAGTTGAATGAGCGTTTGGTACACAACTGTGGTTAATCTTGCTTTGAAGTAAATAAAGTCCAGCACCCTCAGTGTTTAGAAATTCGCCCGCGACTTGAATGAACACATATGTAGATGTTTCAAATAATAATACGAAAATTTAACTATGAAGTAATTGTTGTTAACTTACATTCTCCCACTTTATTGTAAATATCATCAATATATTCGTCAAGTTTTGTCTTATCTCCTTCAGGCATTGGTAAATCGCTCACTTTTTTCACCCATTCCGCCAACGGACTCGTCGCAATGCCCTGACTATTTGTACCAATCATACCCATTAATGCCTTAAAAGCCTCCGCGTTGGTGAACTAAAGGCAAAAACTTGAAAATATGTTCAACAGTTTTCGGGAACATTACACTTACAGCCGCTAATTCCTCGTCCGCAAATGCTCTACAAAATGCTACAAAAAGTTGTTCCATTTGTTGTTCAAAGTGTTCACCCAACATTTTGTGATATATTTTTTGTTCTGTATTCACTATTAGCGATTGGAAGGATTGAAGTGACTGCAGAAACTGTTCTTTGTTGTTACTTTGCTTATACATGGCCATTAAACGGACAATTAACATAATTGTACCAGTTTCCGGCGGATAATGCATTTTCCTGAAAGTATCGAAATTGTTCAAAAAAGTTATGTACAAGTTATTTGTTTACACCTACTTCCATGTTTCATTTAATGCATTTATTGGGTGTGTGTCGTCTGTATGGAAAGCACCCATACAAGCTATACGATGATATTTATTTAAAGCCTCAATACGACAATCCTCGGAACAGTACCGAACTTTACAATTGGTGCATTGTGTAAATTGTTGCAGCCATGGTGTTGTTGGATCGTATTCTGGCAAAGGCACTACCAATGCATTGTTATTCGCCAAGCGACGCACATTTTCTACTACTGTTTCTAATGGTCGCATACAGTGATCACAAGCTTTATACCCATAAGCTGCATTCCAAGAGAACTGTCGTGACACAAAGGGCTCCTCCTCGAAAATAGTTTCACCCACAGCAAACGCTTTTGTCGAGATCATAGATCGTCCCTAAATGTTAATAATAAAATTACTTCTTAAAATTAATTTCATATAGAAACACAACACATTCATAGCGACATTGTCGAAATTTTTCTAGTGAGGAATGCTTAGTTCCTTGAAAACGCTTTGTATACAAACATCCACTTTGAACACATGATTTAGACAACTAAATTTCTCTTCCGAAGACTATAGTCAATGCAATAACAATTTGGATTTTGTACGTGAATTACGCACCTTGCCGGGAATTTCTTTAATTTCGAATGAATACATGGCTTCAATATCTCCAAAATACTCTTCTTGTAAATAAAGGCTAAACGTGCTCTTTAGCTGACTATAACCCGGTGATATTGTTTTGATTTCTTCAATGTCGAGAAAACGTGGGCGACACCAGACAGGGTGACAACCATTTCTAAAAATTGTGTGGTTTGAGAAATTCTTCTATAGTACGGCATTTATTCTATAAATACGTTCTTCAGAAATTTTATTAACTTTAGAAAAAGTTATTTGCGTATTAAAATTATATACCTGATATATCTTTCTGAAAATTTGGTTTGTGGTCTACACAACTGTGAAAAATTATTCATTTTGTGGCATCCTTAATGACAACAATGCATTAACCACTCTTCTATTGGTTAAAATCGTGCGCTCAATTGAGATGAATTTAAATATTTGTTTGAAAAAGTCCGTTGGTCGACACAAGTCATAAACAAAAAAACATTATTATAAATATTTTTAATTGAAAAACAAATTTAGGTATATTTCTGTGATTGATTTATCAAAAGTGGAACGTAGCTTCCAAAGATACGTGTGTGCGTGGAAAAGAGAAAAGAAATCAAATCAAAGTTTTAGTTTACAGTTTTCCTTTTATATAATTTAACTACATTATTGTTTTTGGTGTTGTGCATCTTTGTATCGACACATAAATTAAACGCGCAAAAGAAGGAAACCTATTTGAGCTCTTCGGAAGATTTATGGACCTTTGCGCATTGTCAACGGCGGACATCGCATTCGATTCTACGATCGCCGTAGGAGTTATACGACGACATTGTCATAGTTAAATTAAGAGATAGTGGCTATGCTGGCTAGGTCATATCGTCCGTATGGATGAAAACACTCCAGCTCTTAAAGTATTCAACGCAGTGCCCGCTGGGGAAAGCATAGCGGAAAGCAGAGGAAGAGGAAGTAGTGGAGAAATCAGGTGGAGAAGGACCTGGCTGTACTCGGCATTTCGATAAATTGCAAATAGAAGAAACGACTGGCGGCTGTTGTTAACTCGGCTATGACCGCGTATGCGGTGTCTACGCCATTAAAAAAGAAAAAAATTTTTTTCGAATAATAACACGTTTTAGAAACAAAATAGAAATATTACGAAAATATTGTTTTTATTCACATTAAACCACAAACTCAAAGTATTATCCGAAACATAACCCTTTTTTATAGAAGAAGAAGAAATCTAAATTTCCATTAATTTTGCAAAAAAAAATATATGCATTTATTTATTTCCTTTTGTTGCTTTTAGTTTTATGCACTACGCGCAAATACTGCAATTCACTACTATTTTCTCAAGTTTTTTTGTTTTATTATTTTCAAATTTTTATACAAATACAATATTTGTTTGTTTTGAGTTTTGTTTTTGTTTGCATTTTAATTATGTATTATTAATAGTATACGCTTACATAGATCAGTAATTCAATGTTTTAAAACTTCTTTTCTTTTTATTGAACTTTATAATTATAATAGCAGTAATCATAATTACATTAATTAATAATTATATATAATAATAATGATAGTAATCATAATTGAATTAGCAGTACATAATAATATTAATAATAATAATAGTTTAATAGTAATATTTTATATAAAAAGTACCATCATATTTTTGTTTTATTTTTTATTTTACTTTTTCTTGTTTGTTTTATTGTAATAAAAACATACATAACATTCCTTCAAACTATTACATTACATAATAAGCGTACGGACGCTTTCTCTGCATTTTGTTTCCGCCTTTTGCATTGGTTTTCACTTCCGCTACTAAAACTACATTTTATTTGTATGGTGGTTAAGCTGCTGCTTTAATTGGTATGAAATCTTTGTTTCGGTAATTATTTGCAATTAAATGGTTTTTAATATTTATTTATTTATTTTTATTATACAGTTTGTTGGTAATTTTGTTTTTATTAGCTTTTTACGATTTAATTTATATTTGTATGTTTTGCAAACTAGTTTGTATGTGCATGTGTATGTATGTTAGTATGTATATTTGTATGTGTATGTATTTGTAATGTGGGAAGCTTTTGTTAATTACAAATTTTCTTTTGTCTGGCTTTCGTGTCCAATTAAGGCGCATGTTTACTTACAACTGATAGCAACTAATAATTTAACCGTTATCTGCATTATAGAAGCGTCATAATTCTCTTTATTGACTTTTTATCATACAAGCAGTTTGTGTTTGTTTTGTTTTATGTTGCTTGCTTTGTAGTTTTGCAATAATTTCTACTTAAGTTAAAAAAAAAAAACACTAATTTTTCTTCATATAAATATAAGAGGTTCGCAGAGCCCTATCAAAAAACCTTGATTACATTTGCCTTGCCACTGCTTAATGTGTGTGTGTGCAAGTGTGTGACTATGCGTCAACACGCAGCCTTTCCGAAGCTCCATTCGAGCCTCAAAGGTTGTTGCACGAACCTTCGCTCTTCGTCCGAGTGGCAGCGACTCACTCGCTCACAGCGTTGTCTGCATTTTGCACACACAATTAATACAATGCATTCAAAAAATTGAAACACCCTCCTCGAATGTGTTTTTTTTTTTGGTTTTTTTGTTTTCCTTTTTCTTTTATATTAGTAAGGCTTTGAAGCATTCATAGCAACGTTCAAGTTTATCAAATCTATTGTTTGTTTGTAATTCGCTGACTAAAAAAACGCATACCTAAATATATGTATGTATGTATGTATATAATATATGTTTGTTTGTAGCTTGATATATTAATGTATAATTAAAAAAAAAATTATTCACTAACAAGCGCCATCTCGCGTGCCGTCGTTGTTGGCATGCCACCCAGCGCTGAGGCTGCTGACGCGGCCGTTTCCAATTCTCTGTCATCATCCGCTGTCGCGTCGAGCGATTTCTTCAGATCCACAAATTGCCCAGTCACGACATCATCGTCATTATCACTTAACTGATCGGCATCGTCCACGGGATCTTCTTCCGCCTCGGCGGCAAAGGACACTTCAGCGGTATTACTACTATCACCATTTTGCTTTTGTTGTGTTGAGGCATCAAGCTCCTCATTCGACTTGCTTTTAATTTCGTCATTGTTCGTTGGTGGCGCCGATGTGGGTGCTGTTGTCGTCACCAAGGCTGGCTCCTCTTCGGGTATATCATCAATAATACTACGACTGCCCGATGATTTTGTATCAGCATCTTCATCATCGGATGACTTGCGTCGCAAAATGGGATCAGAGGCGCGTAATGAATTTTCAGAGTTGCCTAAACCTTCGCCACTTGGACGTAAAACCAGGTA